GAGGTGAGATATGTGCCCAAAAACAAGAACCATGTTCTTCCAAAGACTACGCATAGTATTCTCTACTTGAAGTGACAATATACCCTGCACTTCACCAATAACCATAAATTATTGCGCAATCTATACCTGTGAGCGTGCTGTGCAAGCTGAGATGAAGTGTTATGTGGTGTGCATAGTTGAACCTTTTCATAAGTTTGTAGCAAGTAGAGGGCTGCTGCTGCTGTGTGTGTGTGCTTGCAGTGGCTTGGAGCCTACCCTTATTTTCCCACAGTTTTTGCCCGTAGGACAGGAGACCAACAGGCGCCTATCAATGATTGTCAACTGACAGCACAATGAGTCAAAGGACTAGCAGCAGCAGCATGATGATGATGTTAAATCTGTTGTTTTAGGAACATGGATGTAAATACATGGAATTCAATAAACATTGAATAGCATGTCATGCAGTTTGTCTGTGCCTTTTCCTTCGTGTTGTCCTGGCATATCGTCTCCCCCATGGTTTGCTGTGCTGCCTGGGGATGCTCCAAGCGCTCAGAGAAAGGAGTATGAATGTAAGGTTTCCCCACTGACACAGAGCGGAGGAAAGAACGTCTGGCTCAAGTCAGCAGGAGCAATTTAACTATCACAAAAGACAACAACAGCAACAACACATGTGAGTTAATCATATTTTTCACAAAACGAAGACCACACCATTGGGAAGCTTAATTTCTGTTTAATCAAAATAAGGAACAGGGAGAGGCTTGCAAAACTCTGGGAGTTGAGACTCAGGTGCAGGGTGAGGGTCTCATTGCAGGTCTTCAGGCTCCATTGAATCCCCCTGGGGTTCTTGTGCTGAGAGAGGGAGACAGGAGAAAGGGTTAGATACATCTAGCAACCTATAGGATGGGAAATGGCTGACCTATTTGAAACTTACCTTGTATTTTCACTCTCACTTAAGTCCCTCTCCCTTTGCCATCAATCCAAAATCAGCTGAGCTGCAACATAATACAGAGAGGTGATAATCAACAGAATCACAAGGACATTATATGGCTCTGCTAAAAACACTCACCATAAGTAACGTTTTTGTTTACTGTTTGGAAGTCTCAAATATGCACTCTAAATCCATATCAATAGCGATGTATCACAAAAATAGCTCTCTTCCTTATTATTGTGTAACGTTAACTATATTATACTAGCTTGAACTCCAAGATGGATATCCTCATTTCACCACCTCCACCCACTACAATCACACGCCCCAATGTTATATTCAACTAATGTAACTCCCTCCACCCCGGATAAAAGCACGTTAAGAAGCCCCTTTTCTCTAATTCCACACCGTTGGAGGAAATAACAGCGGCTCCTACACCCGGCGGCGTGCGTTGTCGCTTGCCGCGGGGGGGGCTGAAACTCGACCAACAACCAATCACATGAATCTCCCGCCCCAGACACACAAGCACGCGGTTTGATTGGCTAGAGCTTGTACTGGCATATGATTCGATTGGCTGAAAAAAGTAGAACATTGCTCTACTTTTGCAGCAAGCACCGCGAGAGAAGCTACGACGAGCGAGGATTGGAAATGAAAATAATCGCACTGAGACTCTGACTGGTCTTTTTTCTTCTTCTTCGTGTGTGATTAGACAGATAAGAACCACACAACAATTAGCGGCTGCTGTCGGCCGTCAGCGCAACTTAAATGATGACGTTAAACAATTGTTTTTAAAAGGGCCGTTCCTTGACAACCGGCCGTTCTGTGGTTTTCCAGATTCTACAGATGGCCAGTCCGCCCATGGACATGACGTTAACGTTAATAATGGCTCTGTTCCATCCAAGTGTTCCATTAAGCTCTGACACATATCGAGCATGGAGAATCTCATGGCTTTGAAATTGCCAAACAACATTTCTTCCAGTCATAATTAATGATATTAATTTAATCTGCTAGTAAATAAAGCAAGTCACAATCACAAAAACTCAGAAGTAAACAAACTACAGATCGTTTTTGACACATGGCAGACACATATCTTAAAGGAGCTGAAGTCTGGCAGCTTTGCTGCAGCTTTGCTGCAGCTTTGCTGCGAACATTTGTGACTAGACTGCACAGTACTGTGTGTTGGGGAACATTAGCTTCCAGGCTTCTCATTTAGCTTCTGCAACATGTTCTTCATTCATCCATACAGTAGGGATATTTAAAACTGAAATAGTTATCTTTTGCCACATGGGAGAAATAAAACAGGCTGTAAAGATTGTAAAGAATATATATAAGTCTATTATGACCAAAATTAGATTGTTCTGGCTCTTCAGCAGCGATATGCTCCATTATGTTATTCAGCTAGCTGTATTGCTAGCTGTCTCTGCTTATAACAGCTGCCTGCTGCTAGAAACAGGCTGGGTGAGAGCAGAGTTTCTAGGCTGTCAGATGATAACAATTTACTGAATGTTTGTGGCAATAACTAAAGGTCAGTCTGAGCTCAACTCCTGTCAGACGGCCTCTCTATATGTGACCTCTTCCTGCACTCCTCTTAGCCCTGCCATGATGCCATGAGTGTTCTGAATTGCTGCCAGTTTTTCTGGCTCCATTTCTGGCATACCACCTGCGCTCCCCATCAGCACTTCTATAGTTACCGGCATCACGCTTAGCATGGAATCTGCCATGTCCACAGACATCACAGGGCTATAGAGAGGAATTTTTCTTTGGCAATGATCACCTTCTGAAAACAAAAAAACAAACAAATGAAACACACACAAAAAAAAAAATGCAGGTAATCAGATGAGAAAGTCAGTCCTCTTGCTATTGTGCGGTATATTTTGCAATATCTTTGCAATGTTAAGTTATTACTCGGGAATTCATTTATGATTTTGACTATAAACACCTCTGCAACCATTCAGAGGGCATGAATCCAGTGACCTTGATAATGGGTAGGGCTATGGTGTTTAGCATATGAAAAGAGCAGAGTTGTTTTTGTATTATCGGCAACAACTTAACACATTGTCATTTGATCCATGTTTATAAGTGCAGCCTCAATGAAACTTGAGTGCAGATGTTTTATACGTCATTTTATAAATCGCCCACTTTTTCCTTGACCTAGGTTATTTATGATTTGTAATGTCTGTTAGTAGCTCATTTAAGTTTCACCTGTGTGTATGAAATGTAGTAGGTCACATGTAGAGACCAACAAAAAGCTTGGAGGTATATCGTAAACCCAACAGAGTGTCAGCCATTTGGATTTATATTATATCTAATTCTACGTTTAGTATTTACATTTCTGACTGTTTCTGTCCAGGTGGAGTGGGAGTCACATCCGCTGGGGTCAGCCGTTCAGACTGAGACACGTGACCACAGGGAAGTATCTGAGTCTGATAGAAGACAAATCCCTGCTGCTGATGGACAAAGAGAAAGCTGATGTCAAGTCTACAGCCTTCTGTATAAGGTCCTCCAAGGTACAGAGTCATAATTCACAACACTGTCATGGCCATAATGTTCCCTTGACATCTTCAAGTCATCATTAAAAACTCCCCTGTTCTTTGACCGCTAACCCATCACACTCCCACTGCTATTTATTTATTTATACTTTATTATTTTCCCTACTGGTTTTTTGTCTGTCCTTAAACCATGTAAAGTGGCCTTGCGTCCCTTGAAAGGCACTATAAAAATGTAATCTATTAATATTATTAGTAGCATTAGTCAAGCTCAAGTGCAACCAAGCCTGATTTGGAATTTTGAATAGTAAAAATGATACATTAAAGCAGCCCTATGCCTCTTATTTAAGTTGTATTTCATATGAATTGCTATATACATTTTTCCCCTCTCTATTTCACTCCTACAGGAAAAGCTGGATCCAGGGGTGAAGAAGGAGGTGGATGGGATGGGTGTTCCTGACATTAAATATGGCGACTCTGTGTGTTACATCCAACATGTTGACACCAGCCTGTGGCTTACATACCAGACTGTTGATGCCAAGTGTGCACGCATGGGGGGAGTACAGAGAAAGGTACTTGTTGCATTCAACTATACTGCAGGTTTTAATGAATGTTTTAACAATAGTCTTACAACGTTTCTACTTTCTTTTAAGTATACTATAATTGGATGAATTCAGTGTGATAATTAAAGTTGAGGTGAGTGTATTTAGAGAGCGTCCTCTTGTTTCAGGCCATCATGCACCATGAGGGTCACATGGACGACGGGCTGACGCTGTCTCGGTCTCAACACGAGGAGAGTCGCTCTGCCAGAGTCATCCGCAGCACTGTGTTCCTGTTCAACCTCTTCATCAGGTGATTACCGCCCACACACACATCATAATCATACAGTAAAAGTCAAAAATAACATTTGACATTTACTGTGAGTTATCGAAGCAAATAGTTATGCAAGTGGGTTTAAAATTCAAAAGAATCACGATGATTGTTAATACCCTGAAACTTAAGCTTAAATATATATTACATTTTGGCCACGGTTGACCTGAATATATTTTCCTTACTGCTTTTCAGGGCTTCCATAAAAGCAGACATTTACATGTAAACATTCAACTTAATGCAGTAAAATGCCATGATGCTGAGACAAAACATTTTCTACTTCCTACGTATTTTCTACCATATCTTACTTCACATTTCAAACCGAGAAAATTGTCACAACAAAGATTCCTTTCTTAAAAGACAACTCATGTGGAAAAGAAGCAATAAATAATACATCAGTCAGCAGAACTCTCTTAAAGGTGGGGTAGGTAAGCTTGATAAACCGGCTCGAGATACACGTTTTGTTATATTCCATGGAATGCTCTTAACATCCCGATAGCAATGAATATCTTAAGTGCTTTGACAAAAAATCCATAACAAAATCTCATCTGTGGAAGCTGTAGTACTGTAAAAGCACAACCAATCATCTGAGCGGGCCCGGCTAAAATAACTGGATGGCCTACCTGCCTGTCAGCCTTCCATCTGTGCACAAACTTATCTCGTGCCCTCATTGGTCATGTGCGCGTTCGTGTGTGTTGGAGGAGGGGCTCTGTAAGGAAGTGGCCAGTTTGTTCCGGCTGTGTATTTTCAAATTCTAGCGCACTCGAGCTGGTTTCTCCAAAATGACCTACCTTAATTAATTAATTTTTGCCAAAAATATATTGCATAGATATAATCCATTTGTAATCAACATTTTGATTGGTGACTTTAATTAAGTGAAACATTTATTTGTTATCTTTTTTAAGTTTTTTATATGTTGCAAGTTATCCCNCTGTACCACACACGCACCTACACACTGTGCCACGCACGCACCTACACACTGTACCACACACGCAACTACACACTGTACAACACACACACCTACTCACTGTACCAACAGTGAGTAGGTGTGTGTGTTGTACAGTGTGTAGTTGCGTGTGTGGTACAGTGTGTAGGTGCGTGCGTGGCACAGTGTGTAGGTGCGTGTGTGGTACAGTGTGTAGGTGTGTGGTACAGTGTGTGTCTGTGTGGTACAGTGTGTGTGTCTTACAGTGCGTAGATGCGGCGGACAGACGGGTCTCAGTTGGTTTGGTGTCCTATGCTTACTTTTAATACAACTTTTGGCCCGTAATTTCAATTCCCCATTTCAGCAACCAAACAGAGGGGGGGATATATCCAGTCTCTGATTGTGTTACGTTATTATGAGTGCTCTCATACTTTAAATGTACTGTGAATGAATTAAAAGTAAATATATAAGTGGTCATGAACACATCTGTCCCTCAGACAGAGGGCTGATGTTTCTCCTGTCATCATTAATGGACGTCTCTTTAAAATGACCGCTCAGAGGATAGGAGTTCTCATTTCTCTAAACGCCTGCTGCTTCCCCTCCTCTCTCCTCGACTCCTCCGCTCTCATCTCCTGTGGGCGTGACTAAGACACGAGGAAAGGAATCGAGGAGGGGACATTTAAGAATTGAAAAGCCTCTTGGGACGTCCTTCAACATGGCGTGTCTTGATCGATTTCCGGGTCAAGTCCCGGAGGAGGGGAAGAGAGGAGTCGAGGAGGGGTATTGAGATGAACCTCCTATGATGATGGTGTATCATACAAAGAGAAGGGATTAGACAGCAGACAGGGAGAATGAAAAAACATGGATACAAATCAAAGAAAACTAAAAGAAAAGGGTGGGGCCGAGAAAGCAAGAGAAAAAAAGGTGAAGTCACTAGCAGCTGAAGCATCTAAATGTTGCAAATTGACAGACCTTTTTGGCAACAGCGCTGCTAGCACTATCAGCAGTTTAGAAGTGCAAGATGATGAAGAGAAAGATGAGGGCGCGAGTCTGAGTTCAGATATACAGCCAGCCTGCGTTCATCATGAGGGACAGAGAGTTGAGCTGGTGGAAGAACCAGCTCAACTGGCATGTACAAGTGCAGGGCAAGAGCTATAGAGAAGACAAGTATATTCAACCTAGTTTTTTCAGTTAGTGTGTTGCTCATGAAAGCAATAAAATAAATAAAACAATTGTTACATGAGAGTAGGTGTAGTATCTAATATTTACAAAAAAGGATGGATCAAACAAAAGTGTATTACTTGTCAACATTTTTAAGTTTTAATTCAAGTATTATAAAAATAAATGTTGACAGTTCACTAGTACCCCCCCTCCCCCATTTTGATTAATCAGTTAAAAGAAGAAAGGCTATTGTGTCCTCTCTCCTCGTCTCTTTTTGTCGTGTTATCTTTTATTTTAGCTACTTTATTTCTTTATTATGTGGAAGTATTTATTATGTTTTTTTTTTTTAAATACTTTTGGTATCCACTATGGCAAATGATAAGAAAGGTATCTTGATTCATCAGTGAAGCTAAACCAATTGATTTTAGAAAAATCTGTTTCATGTTATTTTGTATGTGTGACATAAAAAGAAAGATGTCATGTGTGTTTTAAAAATGAAATATAATTGTTCTGTATAACAACAAAAGAGCATTATCACAATGAAAACCTTGAATGGCTTACACATGGCAACAATTTGGTCAATTTGGGCAACCAACCTGGAAACAGCTGTCAAACTTACAGTCAACTTTCTATTCTGCTGATATTTCACAACTATTTAAGCCATTTAAAGGCTGTCAAGGCAAACACGGTGAATACAAGTAGTAATATGTTGAACATAGCAGCTTTTTAAAGTAGAATTACTAATGAATGCTTAATTGTGAACACTTTGAGGAATCCCAAGCAGCAGCTTGACCGAGGACAACAAGGTGAGAGCACATGAGAGATGTACACATATAAAACACAAACAGAACTGTGAGTAGTGATCATGTCTGCTTGTGTATATTTGTACATGTGTGGACAGAATGTGTGTGATGCATGTTGTACTTACACCACCCGCAGTGTCTCCAGCCTCCACAGGGACCTGGCATGAGTAGACACTGCTCCCCCCTCATAGTGCACTGTCCTGGGGGGGGGGGGAATTAAACGATCACACCTTCAAACATCCTCTCCACCCATGATAGTGTACATTCTACAAGACAATGCAACGTAGTACATGTAGATAATGTACTACCTGGATGACTCAGTATAACCCTCAGCAGACAGTCAGGAGGAGAACACAGTCTCTCTCAGCGGCACTGTTTAACAACATGGCTGTCCCCTTGAGGAACATCTTAAAACTACAGTATCAATATTAATACTCCTCTGTGTCAGTCACAGCAGAGAGCTCGGGATCTGATGAGAGTTTTATTCTTCTTTCCCTGCAGGCTATGGTAATTTTATTAAGGTGGAAACAGAATACTGTATGACTAATTTTCGATACGCGAGGGTGAAGAGCCAAACTGAAGCAGAGGAACAGGTAGAAGACATCACTTTAGAAGTGGAAGAGATGCAAACATATGTTTGTATGGCAATATAGTATTGGTTAAAAATGTACTCACAGCTCCATTGCCTCCTTTTCAGTTTATGTTTTTGGTATTGTGGACCTGCTAAGATTAAATATTTGTTTATTTTATTTGTAATGTATTTGGTAGAAATGATTGCACTTTTGACAACCTTAGTGTATACAGCAGAACACATATACTCACTGTAGGTATAACATGGATTGACTATTACTGTGACGTATTATTCAGGTTTACAGATATCACGCTTTGTGAAAGTAGTCTGAAAAAGCCTATTTGGCAAAAAGAATCCCTTTTTAAAAGCATCTTATAAGACATTGTTACTGGGGTAGCAATGTGTATAACTGAATGACAGCAATTAAACAAGACATTTACACTTCCCCTTGCGACATGTGAAAGAAAAAGCAAATACATTACGTTAAGAATTATCAGTGCACATTACCTCCTCTGCTCGTCCCCATGTTCCCCAGACGGAACAGTTAGACACTCGTCCATGTGACCGTGAAGGAGGCGCAGGACGTCCCCTCCTATCAAAAAACCTGCAGGAAACAGGGCAGAAAGAAGGGAAAAAAGGAAATGACATCGGAGAAATAGAGGGAAAAGGACAGCTCAAATAACTAAATAATCAAACACCCCTGCCTTGCCTAGGAATTTAGAAACTATTTTGAGCATTCTGATGAACATGACTGTGCTGACATGAGAAGAAGGAAGTAGGAATTTATGAAAAACTTCTTCTGGACGGAACTTTGAGATGTTAGCCTTTGCAGACCATTTACATGCACAAAAACCTATAGAACACACTACAGGAAAGGGAAACCCCAAAAAGAAGAATAGGGCCGAGTAGAAGGAAACATGACTAGGCTAATCATGCAACCTATCTGTTCAGATATAAATAAAGACCAGCAGTAAATGAAAAAGACCTACCTAAGTAAATACCTACCTAAGTAAATAAATAAAGACCTACTGTAAATGAACACCTGTGTCTTCAAATCATGTCATTCTGAGCATTTAGGGGGATGATAGTGGCTTACACGAAAGGCAGCCAACAACCCAGGAAAGTTGCATAGACTTAAACAACCTAACCCAGACTCAAAACGCTTAATTTTAGTGGGATGTAGATACTATTGTCTAACAATTGCATAAAATAAAATCAAGATGCTGCTCGAGTCTGCAAATCTAGAGAATACATTTTTAATAGTGGAGACACAGCTCCAGAAATGAGGATACAGTACATACTGCTTACTAGAGTACTCGCTGTGTTCATGTAAAAACAACTGTATCAACTGTTGTCTTTGAAATAATATTACATTTGTATATGTGTTGAGAAATGTAAATGCAACTACACATGGACATCTGTTAAAAGTGATAAAAAAAGAATGTACAAAAGCAGGAAGTGTTAGGAGTAAAGGAGAATTATTCCCTAAGATATCTAAGCTTTTTGCCCTTTGATGTTTATGACCAACCCTGACGTCTATTATCTGTCTTAAGGAATGGGAGGCCTCAGCTATGTTGATATTCCCAGTTTATGACCGGTCAACTCTCTGTCACAAATGGTTTATGGTTACGATGGCTTCGAGGCCATTAAGGGTCAGACATTTGATTCAGTGCCCCCAGATGTTTAGGCTATCTCCAGTGTTACGTAATCTCCCCCAATATGTTGATTACTCTCTGTAAACCATTTCAACGGTCTAGCAGGAGAGAGGCCCGGCAGAATTGATGTGGCAACTCTACCCGTGCAGTCAGAACCTCTGGCTGCTGTGACTTGTGATGTGAATCCTCCGGCCAAGACTTGTAATAAACCATCAGTGTTTGACATCAAAGCTCCAACTCTCCTTGTGTCTCTCTGAGTCCTGACTCTCCATTGCTACAGAAGTTTCCCTTACAGGAAGCTAAGATAAAAGATGAAAACAATCAGCAAGAAAGAAAGAGAGAAACGAGTAGACATAGGCTGTACCTTGTGCTACTTCACTGCCAGAACAGATGGGAGCCACACTCCATAATGTCTGCTGGAACGCTGCGTCTACATGGAGGCTGCCGTTACCGTAGGACAGATGCTGCAGGGAGAAACACACAGGAGACAAATACAATAAATCATTTACTGACCCATCAGACAGAAATACACACAAATATGCCATGTCTTATGAGTAAGACTACAACTTTAGATGGTGATATAACATAATTTCAAGTTTCAAGACATCACCAGGCCACCAGGGTGGGTGGAGGGGGTCAGGAGGACGGGTTTGCGCTGACAACCCAGGATCACGGCAGAGGACCAGGAAGGGATCTCGGGCGGACGGCCCGGGGGCAAGGCAGAGTCCAAGGATGGGGTCTCGGGCGGACGGCCCGGGGGCAAGGCAGAGTCCAAGGATGGGGTCTCGGGCGGACGAACTCAGGGGGCCGAGCATGAGAGCGAGGACCGCGGCCGGAAAAGTCAGGGAGCCGATCATGAGGGCGAGGACAGCGGCCGGGAAAGTCTGGAGCCCGGGCTTGAGGGCGAAGACCGCGGCACTCAGGGGGCCGGGCTCGAGGGCGAAGACCGCGGCTCACAGAGGGCCGGGATCGAGGGCCGGGATCGAGGGCGAAGACTGCGGCTTTCAGAGGGCCGGGATCGAGGGCGAAGATTGCGGCTCTCAGGGGGCCGGGATTGAGGGCGAAGACTGTGGGTCTTAGGGGGCCGGGCTCGAGGGCGAAGACCAGACAGCTCCAGAGGCCGAGCAGAGGCCGAGCAGAGCCCGATGTCGGCCGAACAGGAACCAGAGCCGGTGGGATAGGCCTCGGCAGGATGCCCCACGGAAGAGGACCAGGAGTTGGCAGGACCCCCGGCGAGACAGATGATGGCGGGGACTCCAACGGAACAGGACAAGGGGTTGGCAGTACCCCCAGCAGAAGAGTTGTCGGCGGGACCCCCAACGGAACAGGACCAGGAGTTGGCAGGACCCTCTGCAGGACAGGAGATGGCGGGACATCCAACGGGACAGGACCAGGAGTTGGCAGGACCCTCGGCTTGACAGGTGATGGCGGGGCGTCCAACGGGACAGGACCAGGAGTCGGCAGGACAGGTGATGGCGGGGCCTCCAACGGAACAGGACACAGGGTTCGGCAGGCCCCACGGCAGAAGAGTCGTCAGCGGGACCTCCAACGAGACAGGACATAGGGTTGTCAGGACCCCCGGTAGAAGAGTAGTCGGCGGGGCCTCCAACGTCACAGGACACAGGGTTGGCAGGACCCCCGGTAGAAGAGTAGACGGCGGGACCCCCAACGGGACTGGACATAGGGTTGGCAGGTCCCCCGGCAGAAGAGTAGTCTGCTGGACCTCCAACGGGACAGGACACAGGGTTGGCAGGACCCCCAGCGGAACCTCCAACGGCACAGGACATAGGGTTGGCAGGACCCCCGGCAGAAGAGTAGTCAGCGGGACCCCCAACGGGACAGGACATAGGGTTGGCAGGACCCCCGGCAGAAGAGTAGTCGGCGGGACCCCCAACGGGACAGGACATAGGGTTGGCAGGACCCCCGGCAGGAGAGTAGTCGGCGGGACCCCCAACGGAACAGGACATAGGGTTAGCAGGACCCCCGGCAGGAGAGTAGTTGGTGGGACCCCCAACGGGACAGGACAAAGGGTTGGCAGGACCCCCAGCGGAACCTCCAACGGACCAGGACATTGGGTAGGGACTTGAAAGGTGACTTGAGAGGTCACTCGAGAGAGGTCACTTGAGAGTGAACTCGAGAGGGAACTCGAGAGGAGACTTGAGAGGTGACTTGAGAGGTGACTCGAGAGGAGACTCGAGAGGTGACTCGAGAGGGAACTTGAGAGGGGACTTGAAACGTGTATTGAAAGAGGACTCGAGAGGGGACTCGAGAGGTAACTCGAGAGGAGACTTGAGAGGGAACTGGAGAGATGACTCGAGAGGGGACTCGAGAGGGAACTGGAGGGGTGACTTGAGAGGAGACTCAAGAGGAGACTCGAGAGGGGACTTGAGAGGAGACTCGAGAGGGGACTTGAAAGGAGACTCGAGAGGGAGCTGGAGATGTGGCTTGAGAGGAGACTTGAGAAAGAACTTGAGAGGAGACTTGAGACGGTCGGTTCGCCAACAGAACATGGGGGTCTGGAGTCGGCCGGAATGCCGACAGGACACGGGGAGCTGGCGTCGGCCAGAGACGAGGGGCTGGAGTCGAAACCATGGCTGCTGGGGCCAGAACTGGGGCCGGAACCATGGCTGCGGGGGCCAGAACTGGGGCTAGAACCATGGCTGCTGGGGCCTGTACTGGAGCCNTATTCTTTTGATATTTTTCTTTTTGTACTAAATTCTTTCATGCTTTCTATCTATACTAACAGCTGTGTGTGTGTGTGTGTGTGTGTGTGTGTGTGTGTGATACTGACCTGTGCAGAGTCAGCAGGTCTCGGTGATATCCTCCACAGTAAGGCACTTCCTGGTATCACAGTCACAGTTTCTTGGACGTCCGGCATCTCGTCCGCCTCCTCAGCTTCACAACTACGTCCCTACACACACACACACACACACACACACACACACACACACACACACACACACACACACACACACACACACACACACACACACACACACACACACACACACAATGAGTCTAACGGCCTAACGATGTGCGATTACAGTACGTGCAGAACTACAACTTTACCACAGACTCAACACAGTGCGAGTCATTGCAGGACGGCTGAGTGCAATGATCTACACACTAACAGCACTAATAACAACACACACACACACACACACACACACACTAAACTGCACCTTACCTTCCACTAATGCACTGCATGTTATCGTGGAAGGAAAACCATTTGAGAGAAAGGATTTAGAGCCACATTGACTTCATGAGGACAGATACACACATCAGAGACATGGTCAGCTGGATTCAGGAAAAACCAAAGTATATTTCTAAAGTTTGCTAAAAAAACATCCTCTTATCATAAAGTATAATTGAAATGTGTCTGTGGGAATATGTATTATTGATGTTTGAATGTGTGTGTGCGGACCCCAGGACGAATAGCTAATGCTAATGCTAATGCTAACGGGGATCCTAAAGACTGAGCAGCTTTTTCTCTCACCTTTTTCAGCTTCTTCGAGTCTGCTGCCGTTTTCTTTTCAGACTTTTTGTGAGCGTCGTACACTTTGGGGTCGATGCTGTACATGCACTCTGTCCACTTCCCGTACAGGACTCGCCTCTTCTTCTTACTGCAGGAGGAAAGACAGAGGAAATTAATCACGGCCCCCGTCTATTAACTACAGAGGCATGATAACAAGGCATTTCACGAGTTAAAAATATAAACAAATGAAAACAAAGAAATATCACTTAGAAATAGAAATAGGTATAATATTTACTTTTTAAAATAGAGTTAATTTTTAAATGTATTATACAAAAATAACCTATGGGACCATGAACAACGTATTATATTGAATTACAAAACAACATGTTTGAATATTTTTCGAAACTTTTTTCTTTATAAATTGCAAAATTTGTTGCACATTTTTTCTTATTATAGAAATAAGATTGGTCACAAAAGACGGCCTACATTGATTTGTGCTTTCATTGAGAACTACAGAAGGCTACAAGAGAATAATGGTATGTATTGAGCGGTGCAGGGAGGACGTATTCACCCTGAAGGAAGCTGCTGGTTCCCTCGACAAAAAAGCAACGTGATCTCTCCAGAGGATTTTGGAAAATAGCTGGAAATAAGATCTGTGGAAACGAACCTGTTTGATAAATGCACGTTCTGTTCAGCCGGATAATCTCCACATGTCTACCCTACTTTTATAATTTTCGAATCATAAATCTAATGGTCAGAAGCAAAATGCTAACGTTATGCTATAAAGGAACTACAGCCGAGTCCAGCAGCACGACTTCAACGTCACGCCATCTTCAGATCCATATTCAAACACACAGATTCTAAATGGTACGAGTTGAAGCGTTTGTTTGAACAGTCTGCAGGAGGCAGGGACTTGCTTTCAAGCAGAACAGAAACTAACTTAGAGGAGTGTTTACGTGTTCGGCGTAATGACGTACAACGGCCTCCACGACTTCTGTAGTCCTATTCAGCCACTTGGTAACAACCATCGTTTTTCCAGTGGGATCACTGCTGATGGATTTAATGTCCTAGAACAAAACGTGATCTGTCTCTTCAATGTGTTTCAACCACAGACCTTATTTCCCAATATTTTCCAAAAGCTAGTTCAAACATCTCATTGGCTGACTCACTTCCTGGTTTTAGGACTCATTCCTGCACCTCTCTATCTCCTGAGCGTGGAGAGTGAACAGCAGTCAGTGTCTCCTGCTCTCAGTACCTGCAGGGCCCCGGTGCCCGGCTGCTGCAGAAGCTTCACCGCTCGACCTCCTGCTGACTTCTGCCCGCGGCCATCGTGCCAGGTTAGATTCCCGCCTGTGCGTCGACTCAGCTGGTGCTTGAAGTCCTCGGGCAGAGCTCTGTACTCCACAGCCGGCCTGACGAAACTGAAACTGGCCGCCGCTGGAGAGATGAAAGCAAGAGGCATAATGATTAGACAGCTGGGTATCCATGCTACTTCCTGCTCTGCATTTTCCTTTCACTTTACTTGTGTTGTGTTGTGAGCACACTTCACTCTCTGCGCTGTTGACACGTATGTGCTGCCTTAATCCAGCCATTCATGGGTCAGTGTGTAGATGTTAAACTTCTGAATTGGGTCTTTGTATTCATGCATTTAATTAGTTTTGTCACCGCAAAAATGCCATTTCTCCTCGAGCTGCAAGTCATGATTTTCCGTATTAACCAAACTGCCTATTTGGTTGACAAAGGGATTCATTGTTTGAACACTAAATATGAAACATGTCAAGATCACAATATCCTAAAGCCAAAGGCAGCTTATTCTGTACAACCAATATTTGTATTTTATCAAATAAGAGGAATACAAATTGCAGACGCCGGCAGTCAAGAGTGTTTGGTATTCTGGCTGGAAAACTGACACATTATAATTATCTTCCTGCAACAATACATGCTACAACAATGCGGCTACGTGAGTTGAAAAACAAAAAGGGATGATGT